ATGTGATATGACATCTTCTAGCCCCAAAGGAGGAACAACTATAGCTAGCTGCTCAGTGGTCATACCAGTGGAACACTAAATGAGCCCATCTGGCCTTAAACAGAGGTGGAGATTGGCAACAGGTGTTAGCTCAGTCTGAATCCTTCCCTGCATCCAAAGGAAACTCAGGGTGCAGTGTTTTAGCCATATAGGCAGTAGCCAAGGCCAGAGATTTGTTCCACATAACCATTGAGTTCCATTATGAGCCACCCAATAAATGCCTAGCTTTCAAGACCAGTGTGTTCCAAATCAGTCACTTTCTTCAAATATGATAGTATTTTGAAAGCTTAAACAGAGCAATCATAAAATAGGCATTTGGTTTAAGCATAACAAAGGTTTAATGCAGAGATACAAATTTGGGAATACAGGCCTGCTCCAGAGTTTTAGAAAAGCTGTCTACAACAGATGCCTTCTTCTCATCCTGGTATGGCCTTTTCCAACAGGCTGCGAAGTCTTTTATTTGATGCCTCTTTTGATAAATAAATTCTCCAGATTATAGTGCATGATCCTTAAGGTCTAGAAGCTCTCTGTGAAAAGAATCAGCTACTAACCTTTCATTTCTTTTAAGCATCTCAATAAGACACTGACAATGATGTAGTATATCTCCGTTAAGCAAAGTTGGTTCATATATTTCCTCATCTAATTGCATAGGCCATCTAGTTATTACCTCAAGACAGCCGATGTTTACCAAAGAGTGTAGATCTAAGATTGAGGAGCACTAGCAGAAGAGCTTTTGGCCATGAGAGGTTAAATGCTTCTGAAAGCTTTGCCAATTAAATTTTGATTGTGCCATTAGTTTTTTCCACCAATCCTGAGGATCAGGGATAGTAAGCACAGTGGAAATGCTACATTATTGGCCAAATGTTACAAATAGATTTAATTATTTGTCCAGTGAAGTGAGTTCCCAGGTCATGGTGTAACTCAGTAGAAATTTCCTCAAACAGGAATTATCCTTTTCAATAATAATTTATCTAAAGCCATCGCTCTTCTTCAACCCAATGTGAGAACATACAAATCATTACAAGATATATTTATCCTTGAGATGGTGGCATTTGGACAAAGTCCAATGGCCATACCTCAAAGGGTTCCTTAGGAAGGGAAAAGTGGCCTTGTGATTCATGAAATAGTTTCCCTAGATTATAATTTGGGCATATAGCACAATGAGTATAGGCTTTATGAGTCACTATGGGAGAAAGTTTCCGAAAGTATTGTTTTCCCCCTTTTGTTGCCACCTTTATTTCTTTTCTTCCATGGTGATTTCTTGAGCCTATAGAAGGAAACCTTTTACTGGGTTAGCAGAGTTAATAGAAAGTAGCAGCCATTCTTGAGGCTAGACAGCATATCCAGCTTGATAATGTCCTTGCTTATCCTTTAAGTAAGACCCATTTGTAAACTAATTAAATAATAGAATGCAGTTGTGGTCTTTTCCTCTTGTGATGTTGGAAGCAAGGTAGCAAGGTTAAAATAGTGAATAATATTTACCTACACAATATAACCTAAGGTTTATCATCATTTACTTGACAATGCTTCCCATGTAATTTAGCATACCAAACAAGCCTAATTAGTATCCCTCCCCTTAGAGGAAGAGAGACCAAATTTCTTTGAGAAGTCTCAGGGGCCCTCTGAAAATTCTCAGGGAATTTCTCTTCCTTCTTCCAGGTCAAAAGAAAGCCTTTGTTCAAGATTTGAATATTTTAAGGGGGAGTTTGTCAAAAATATCAAAAGATTTAAAAACATTTGTTCAAATAGGAAACAACACTTAAAGTGACAACAGAAACAGTCAAGGGCAAACAGTGAGTTAAAACAGTCAAAAAGTCTTAATAGAGAGACCTCAGTCTTTCTGAACATAGGAAATTATTTTAACAAAACAGATTTTCTGACTTTTAGGTAGACTTACTCAAAAGGAAAGAACACCCTTTTATAACCTCCTTATCGAGAGCAAATCAAAAATTCAAGAAAATTATCCCTTTGAGAGAGAAAACCAAGTTTTAATTTTAGCACCAGCTCAGTTTGACATTAAAACTCATTTGCTTAATTGGATTTACTTTAATCTTAGACAACTTTACCAGGCACAAAACTCCTTTCAGAATTTCTCTTTCATAAACTTTCTATAACTTTTTTTACATTCAGAATTTATCCCATGCTTTCTTTCTTCCCTTCTAGTCCTTTAGGACAAATTTTTCTTTATTAACCCACAAACAAAAATACTTCCATTCTTTATACCTTCTTTACTGAAAACATATACCTTCTTTACTTTCCTCGTATACAAAGATATTTGCCTTATTAATTTCCAGTAGCTTTAGTTACATATATTAATTAGAACTTATAACCCTTACAGACCCTAGCAAAAACTAAAAAGTAAGCAACTATGACCTTTTATATCAGCATTCTGAACACTTCATAATTTCTAGAAACATGCTACTTCATAGTAATAAAACACAAGGCATGTTCATTAATAGACCCAAATACTTTAGTTTCTCTGTAATAAGAAGCCAAAAGTAGATAAACTTAGATATGTTTAGCAATATTATTTCAGTATTTTATCTTATTTGAAAATGACCTAGATACTCAATAAATTTCTATCATTTAACCTAATTTTTAGAAGTCCACACTTCACTTTTCTTTTTTACATCTATTTAGTTTACTCATTCTCAATAACTATTTAGATTACCTACAAAACTACCTGAGACATTAGACAAAATTAGCCAACATTTTAAGTTATTTTTGTTAACCAGTTTTGTAAGAGATAACATCAGCTTATTTGACCAATAAACACAGAATAAAGGCTGCATGTCTGCATCACATCCAAGGCTAATAATGCTGAGCACACACCTATTTTAATCAAACCAACACACTTAAACAAGCCCTCATTTACCAAAGAGTAATTTATCTCATGTTAACCTGAAAGACATTTGGGTTAATTTCTATTACGTTTAGAATTTATGTAAGTGCTTACTTTAAGCCAATTAAACAGAGCTCTTAATTTTGGCCACACCATCCAGAGATAAAATATCGCATACATGACATACGTATAGACACACATACAGGGTCTCCACAGCTGTTGTTTTAAAATTACTGCCATGAATCAGGTACAGTAATATAAAGCTCCCTAGTTATGAATCCAAATTTTGTTTTAAGCCTTTTCACTAATATTTGTAGTGAAGATACTCAAGAAGCTAGATTTTGGGTGAGGGTGCCCTTATGGTCGTTTTTCTGGCCTTTTTTCTTTTCCTTTTATTCAGTTTTAGGAATTGGTGATGAGCTAGATAACAGTTGCCAGAGAGGGGAGGCCATAATCCTTTCTAAGATAAAGGAACTGGGTAGAATCTGAACTGCCTCTCGAACTGCTTTTCCAGTCTTACAGGGATTTGTAAGTTGAGGACACCTGTCCAACCAATCTCCCTAATTTGCTTTTTTCCCTCTGGGCGCTCAGTTTTATTTTAACTTAGGAAAGAAGGCCTGGAAAGCAAATCTCTATCAGGTTCTGAATATCAGCTTCCAGTTTGGCCATATTTCTGATCCTAAGTTGCTAAATCCTTTTGAACACCTTGTCAGGTTTCAGCCAGGATGAACAGTAACTACCTGGCAGTATTGAACTGTTCCAGTAATCTTTAGTATAGCAGTTTCCCAGAAAATCTCCCAGAGTTTCATTAACTTGGAGAGTAGATTATGGGGGTGTCTGTAAAGTCATGGCCTAACGTATTCCTTTAAGTACTATTTATAACGTTAGCTTTTGCCACAAAACTTTCAATAACATTATTTTGGGATGTTGAACTTTTGCTTTTTAAGTGCATCCTTTAGATGATCTTATCTAACCCCAACGTTCCTTCTAATGACCAATGGAATTCACCCGAGGCTGGCAGAAGTACAATAGGACCCTTAGCCATGAATGGAGTACAACCCACATTTCTCTCTGACTATCAGACAACAAAATGGGGTGCAACTGCATTTTGTCTGACCATATTTTGGGACCTCTAACCTAAAAATTATTAAACCAAGCCCTCAGGACATGAAACAAGCTTGGTAAGATACTTTCTTTGCTGTTCTTTGTAAATATTCACAGCTTCCAGAACCTTTAGTTTGAGCAATTGTGCTGGAAGGTGGCGAGCTCAACTCTTTAAAAATTTCTGTTACCTGCTTCTTAAGAAGGAGCCCCACAGTGGCCATTGTAATTCCAAATTATCCTGGGTCATCACGCCAGCCATTTACAGCTATCCTTATTTCATTAAGCACTTGCAAGTCACAGCATGAAGCCAGCTGGTGTTCGGAGGTGAGGATGCCCATTCGGGAACTGGTCGGCTTTTAGAAGCTCTATTTCCCACTTTCCTTTTAGTTTTGTTTTGCTGTAAAGTCTGAACAATTCCTATGGACAGTGTAGTGGGTCAGAACTGTGCTGCTTGTGAGTGTTACTCCCTAAAGAAAGGTCATAAACACTCTCTTACGTGCCTCAGTTTCTCCCGCCAACAGCCTAAAACCACCATGGGGGCTTGGAGCTCAGGTGACCAACCCTTTATGAGCTTCCCTGGGTGAGCCTATAATTAATTAACATGAATGATAGTGGAGTTCCCTATGGGACCACTACACATCATGAGGATTTGACCCTCCAACACTCCTGCTAAGGTCCTCAGTCACCTGAGAATGACTTTCAGTCAGGAGGAGCAATGTTCCTTTTCTTTGGCCCTGAACACATTCAGTCTCTCATTTCTCTATCAAGCAGTTTGTTCAGACATTATAAACACAATTCCTTCCCATTTAAAGCCAAATTAAAAAGATCAGCCTGCTCCATTCACTCCAAAGTTCCCTCTAGTCTCCCCTGGCCTAGGAAATTCCCCTAGGTTCCTCTTACCTAGGGTATGTACCAGTACCCGCTTAAGACACCTAATCTTAAGGTTTGAAACAGCTCTTATAAACTCTGGACTGTCAACTTAAAATAAGGAGGTATGGGTTTCAGGAGAACTCACCAGGGTCACCTGAAGAATGCAGTGATCCTGGGGGGCTCAATGGGCCTCTATTGGCACCGAATGCTGGTTCAGTGTAGATACCAGATGATCTCCAGTGGGTTTCTCTGAAATCCTGCTATGACTCTGCCAAGAAATGTCAATGTAAATAATCCATAACCAACCTATAAATCAAAACTGGGGGGAGTTTATTATGAGCCAGAGTGAGGCTTATAAGCCGGAAAGGCCTTAGTAGGTGTTCCAGAGAAGCATAGGTTTCAGTACAGTCTTATATCTTTTTAGAACAAAGAAGATACATTAAACACACCCAGGATACATTTTCAAAGAGGTATTCAGTTGCAAATTAGCAGATAAACATGACCCTGATACCAGGAAAGGGACTAATCTAGATGTTACCAATAGGGCATAGGAGGGGAAGTATTCATTCTTTATCTTTTTTTTTTTTAAGATTTTATTTTTTCTTTTTCTCCCCAAAACCTTCTGGTACATAGCTGTGTATTTTTAGTTGTGGGTCCTTCTACTTGTGGCATGTGGGATGCTGCCTCAGCATGGCTTGATGAGCAGTGCCATGTCCACGCCCAGGATTCGAACTGGTGAAACCCTGGGCCGCCGAAGCAGAGCGTGCAAACTTAACCACTCAGCCATGGGGCCAGCCCCTCATTCTTTATCTTAAGAGAGTACATTTTTTACTTTAATGAATAAGCAGATGTACAATGTACGTGTGATAGGCCATTAAGTCAGGCTTTCTAGATCAAGCCGAATCAGTTTTGAACTGGAATAGTTACCCACTATACCTCAATATGATGAGGATTATTTTGGGCTGGTTACTTTTAAAAACTGCAGACAGGAAGGAGGCTCTGTGGAGTGGAATTTGCTTGCCCTTTGATGAGAGACATTTGCATTTGTGAAGAAACTCTCCATCTGTGGGAGTGTCTCCCTCTCTGCACCAGGAAGAAGGGGGGATGACCTTATCTCTAGAAACTCTTAATCAATGCCAAAGGCAAGGACTTAAATCTGCATCTTGTTTACTGTACTTGTGTGGTAATCTCCCATGATCAACTCCCCCTCCACCCCCCACATCCTCCTTTGTCTTTAGCTAAAAATAATATTTAAGGTGGTGGCTTCAGCCACTTACTTAATCCGGTTTGATTCTTATCTAAAAGTTATAGGACCACCCAATAACCAGACCCCACCTGCACTGATATCATTTTGACAACTTTTTTTACATATTCTTTCCTTTGTCTTGTAAAGAGATAACTCACATACCTATGCTTTAAATTTAGCCCTACTCTCAACCCACGTTTGCAGCAGCAGCAGCAGCAGCAGCAGCTCTGACTGCCCATGCTTCCTGTCCCCATGCAGCAGCAGCTCTGACTGCCCATGAGTCCTGTCCCCATGACGGCAGCAGCTCTTTACTGCCCATGGGTCCTGTCCCCATGCTATTCCACACTATTCTCTAAACAAAATAGCACTACTGCCAGACCTTGAGAGTCCAAGAAATCTTTCTTTTGACTCTTCGGCTCGCCAACCCCACATCAAATATGTGAAAATCTCTTACTGATGTGGGCTCGGTGAGCCAAGAAGTCGAAAGAAAGATCTCTTGGACTCTCAAGATCTGGCAGTAGTGCTCGTTTATTTAGAGAATAGTGTGGAATAGCATGGGGACAGGACCCATGGGCAGTCAGAGCTGCTGCTGCTGGCATGGGAACAGGACCCATGGGCAGTCAGAGCTGCTGTGTGGGGACAGGGCCCACAGGCAGGAGGAGGTGCTGCTGCTGCCGCTTCTGCTGCAAACATGGGTGGAGAGTAAGGCTAAATTTAAGGCATAGGCATGTGAGCCATCTCTTTACAAGACAAAGGAAAGAACATGTAAAAAAGTTAAAATGGTATCAGTGCAGGTGGGGTCTGGCCATTGGGTGGTCCCACAACTTTTAGATAAGAATCAAATCGGATTAAGTAAAGGCCAGAAGCCACCACCCTAAATCAGCTACATGAGGTTGCCAGACAGTAACCAACTTAAGTCCTTGCTTTCCCCATTAAGAGTTTCCAGAGATAAGGCCATCCTGCCTTCCTCCTGGTGCAGAGGGGGAGGCCTGGAGATTTCCTTCACAAATGCAAATGTCTCTCAAAGGGCAAGCAAACTCTGCTCCTTGGAGCCTGCTTCTCATCTGCAGTTTTAAAATTAACCGGCCTAAAATCCTCATCATTACCATCCCAAAAAGTTGATGAGTTGAGCTTGTGGCCCTATATAGGATACATCAGCACCTGAGAAGGAAGAGATTCTCCTAAATGTTTTAAGCTGAGTTAACTCAGAATTATGGGCACAAGGACAGGCGGGGCGAGCAGCCAGTGCCATGCCAGTAAAGGTAAAATTGAAGTAGATAGCTCACTGGCCCTGGATAAAACAATACCCCTTGAAGCCAGAAGCCATAAAGAGGAATCTTTCCTGTAATCAATAGGCTTTTAGAACAAGGATTGATCAGGCCATGGAGATTCCCATGGAACACTCCCACATTACCTGTTAGAAGGCTGGAAACAGGGGAATATAGATTTGTTCAAGACTTTAGTGCTGTCAATGCTATACAGTACTGGATTTATAATAGTAAATATCTTCATTTTGTTTCTGGCACAGAGCTCCTAAAACTCTTGTAATTTCCCATATAAGAGCCATAAGATCATCTTTTGTTATAATAATTACTTTAGTCCTCAGGTCCTGAAATAACTCCAGAGCAATAAAGGTGAAATGAGTGTCTTTTGTTATTCCTCAAGCCCCTTTCAACCACACCTGAATTTTTGTTAATAAGGTGACTTCTGGAAAGGCTCTAAGGGTGGGATCTAGTTGCCAGGGAAACCAATTGTGTGATTTGGGGATTGGAGCTTTCAGTCCCATTCCCCTCCCCATTCCTCTGGGGTGGGGAGAGGGGCTGAAGATTGAGTTCCATTGCCAATAGCCAATCATTTAATCAACTATGCCTATGTGGTGGAGTCTCCATTAAAACCCAAACAGATGGGGTTTGGAGAGCTTCCGGTTTGGTAAACACTTGGAGATTCAGGAGAGTGGCATGCCCAGAGCGGGCCTGTGAGCTCCGCGTCCCTTCCCCACGTATTTTGCTCTATGCATCTCTTCCATCTGGCTGTTAAGTAAAATGTGTTCCTGAATTCTGTGAGCCACTTTATCAAATTAATCAAACCCGAGGAGGGGGTTGTGGGAACCTCTGGTCTGCGGCGGGTGGTCAGAAGCACAGGAGACAACCTGGACTTACAATTGACATCTAAAATGGAAGGCGAAGGGTAATCCTGTGGGAGTGAGCACTTAACCTGTGGGATATGATTCTATCCCCAGTGAGATAGTGTCAGAATTGAGTTAAACAAGTTAAACTTCTTAGCCAGTAAGGGATATAAAGTGTCTAAAGGGAAGGCACAAATTTGTAAAGAGACTGTAAAGCATTTGGGGTTCATCACTTCAAGGGGACAATGCAGCCTTCCCCAAGAGAGGAAAATGGTAATATGTCAACTTGCTTCACCAAAAACTCATATGCAGCTACAAGGATTCTTGGAGATGGCTGGCTTTTGCCACATTTGGATCCCTAACTTTGGATTAATTGCTAAGCCTCTCTGTGATAAACTACAGGGGCCAGAAATGGACCTCTTTGAATGGGATAAGCTATGTGACCAAGCTTTCAAAAAGCTTAAAAAGTTGCTAATGGAAGCACCTACACTGGCCTTACCATACCTGAGCAAAACATTTGATCTATATGTTCATGAAAGACAGGGAATAGCTATAGGAGTGTTAACTCAAATGTTAGGACCCCTAAAAGGAGAGGTAGCCTATTTCTCAAAGCAGCTAGACGCTGTGGCAAAAGGATGGCCCCCATGCTTGAGAGCTGTAGCTGCCATCTGCCTCTTAATCAAGAAAGCAGAAAAACTGGCTATGGGCCAACCTATGACAGTGTGGGCTCTCCATCGAGTCTCTTAGCCTACTAGAGACTGAAGGACATCTATGGCTCCCAGAATAGAATTCTACAATATCCAGCTATACTGCTAGATTCCCCTCAGATTTCTTTAAAAGCCTTTCATATCTTAAACCCAGGTACCCTGCTCCCTGATTCCAGTGGGCCTATAACCCGGGTGTGCCCAGAATTGATTGATCAGGTTTACTCTAGTCGCAGAGATCTCCAGAGCAAACCATTGCCTAATGCAGAGGAAGTATGGTTTGTAGATGGGAGCAGCTTCATGAAGAATGGACAAAGAAGAGCAGGTTATGCAGTAGTGTCTCTGCATGCAACTGTAGAAGCCAAAGGGCGGACACCAGTCACCTCGGCCCAAAGAGCAGAAACAATTACACTAACCAGAGCTTTGGAATTGGGAAAAGAAAGAAACAATAACAATATACACAGATTAAATACGCTTTCTCTGTAATTCATGCTCCGGGAGCCATTTGGAAAGAAAGAGGACTTCTTAACAGCAGCAGTAAAGAAATTAAACATGGGCCAGAGATCTTTAAATTGCTAGAAGCAGTACAGGCCCCCAAGGAAGTAGCTGGGGTCCATTATAAAGGCCATCAAAGTGGGGAATTGGAGACCATGAAAGAGAATGACTTGGCAGCTGCAACTGCAAACAGGGCCACTATATCAAGAGAGCGTCTCCAATTACCATTAATTCCCATTCTATTCACCTATGAATTACACCAGTGTGTTCCCCTGATGAACTAAGGAAGCCACTACACAGGGTAACCACTGGTCCCCAAAAGTCAAGGGCTGGATGACAAAAAAACTTCTGTCTTCCTTTGCCCATGGAGGTCAAACTCCACCCCATATGAATGGGGAGATTGGGTCTATCTTAAAACTTGGAAAAGCGGTTTGTCCCAAGATCAGCTAAATCCTATTTGGGTAGGGCCTTGCGTGGTGTTACTGACCACTCACTCTTCCCTAAAAATTAGGAGTCACTCCTTGGATCCACCACGCAAGAGTAAAAAAGGTGCCCATGCCTGAACATTAAGAGAGGTCGTCACAGACAACTGATGACTCCGAGTTTTCATGCAAACCACTCTCTGATTTGAAACTCTTGTTTCAGAGACACAATGACCTACGCCTATGACCTTTGCCTTATTTTTAACGCTAAGAGCTCTCCAGGAGGAGCTTAGGCCTTATTACTGTAACCTGCTGTGTATGTGGAAGCATGTTTTTCAACTGAGCCTGTGCAAGCAAATATCCACCTCTCCCTTTGAGTATTCATTCCCCATCCAAAATAAAAAGTCCCTGCTTCCCTTTGTTCAGGGACACTATGACTTTGGAAATGATTCCGAATGGCCTCCTATTTGCTGCAAATATTCTTTACTTTGTGAGACAACTACTTCTGGTGGAGAGTCTGATTTAACTCACCAGGAGGGAACCCACTTTGGTTTCAGTAACAATCTCAGACACAGAAGAGGATGCCAATTCATCTCACTCTCAAAAGGAAGCAATGAGTGGGTCGTGTTCTTTGAACCTACTCTAAATGCAAGTTATTTTGTCCATTTCCCAAAGAAAGTCATCAGGTGGATATGAGAAGCTTCATTTTTGTTGCTTAGACCAAAGAAATAAAAATGAAATCTCATCAGTAAAGCACTGAGAAACCAATGTGGGTAATACCTCATCTTTATTTATTTTTATTTTGAATGGAAAATAATAGGGACATTGCTATGAAAACTCTTCTTATTAATGTCTGTTTCTTAAAATGCTCAACTTTTCACTTATTGCTTTATGAGACTAGCCAACTAACTTAGAACCTGGCAAGGAGAATGGAGTTTTTCCTGATCTTTGTTCAAGAATTCCCAGCAGCACTTGTGTGTACCAATGACTAAGGGAGACTTTTCCCACTCTGTGCCCTGGTATCCTATAAGTCCACAAAACCTTTATATAACCCTGGAAGGTGGGTGGAAGCCCAAACAGCACAATGAAGGCTCGAGCTAAAATTAAGATGTAGAAAAACAATGTAGGTTATGTTTCTTTCGCACATGTCAAAAATACCCACTGTCCAAGTATTCTGAAAAAAATTAAACCAATGCTTGGAGCAGAAGACAAAAATATCATTAATTCTATCTACATTAAAAAAAATTGGATAACTTAATCCATTTGGTCACTCCATTTAGTCAACTCAATTTTTTTAAAAAAATCTTCAAAGAAGTTTTTTAACAAAATTTTATAGCAGAGTCTTGCCTCTAACAAAAACAGCAGTAACAATAAAATAAATCACTTGTATGCCAAGCACTACACTAGGCACATTTTGTCATCTCATTTATTTCCACAAAAAAAACTGAGAATTGTGCATTATTATTTCCCATTTTCAGATGAGAAATCTGAATCAGAAAGGTTAAATAACTTACCCAAGGACGTTAAGTAAAGCTGGGGTTGGAATTTCTGACTCCAAACTCTGTGTTCACTCCACTAAGCACATTGTCTCCAATAAAATGGTTTCCTTTTTTGAACGCAAGGCAAATTTAAAATATTTTGAATAAAATATTTATAATAGAAATATCATATGTACAATTTAGAAGAAGAAAAAATTGACCACCTTTATCAATTCTAAGACATACCCACTATGCCCCAAATACTCTAATATTTAAGAAATAATAAAATATAGCTCCAAAATTGAGCAATGTGGCATGGCAGCAGCAGCAAGATAGAACACGACACTTGAAATCAAAAGCTCCTTACCACACATGGGCTTTGCAGTCTGAGGTATTGGCTGCAAAATTATTCAGACCAGATGCAAGGAAAACGGTCTGCACAGGAATCAGCTTACCTAAGAGAAAAACTCAGATATCTTCATTTTATAATATATTCCTCATTTACCATAATTCCTCATTCTCATTTAGTTTCAACTTCAGAAGGAAAACCTAACTCTGAGACTTAGAATATTTGTCCTTGTTAGCCAAGGGTCTCTTTATCTATGTCTTTAACAGAGAAACTGAGGCACAAGAAGTCAACTTTTCCCAAGCCATACAAATGAAATCAGCCAAAGAATTTTGCCTCAAGACTTCCAGTACTGTACTTGCCCATGCAGCATAGTCTTATGCCCAAAATTTCCTAGTCTTTTGGAAAATGAGACAGCTCCTACAAAAAACGTATTTTAAGATTACAAAACAATGCAGAAGTTAATTATGTTAGAACATTGACTTTGGCGTTAACGTTAATCTAGTTGTAATTATGTAACTATTATTTTATCGCTTCATTCTTTGCAGCTGTGTCACTGCTCAGAAATTTTTGAAATGGCTTTTTACAATTCGGAGGAAAGGCAGGTGGCAGCAGGAAATATTTTTTTAGTGGTTAGAATTCAGTTCTCAGATGACTTCTTTTCCATACTGCGGAACCTCACCAATAGCACGCTAGGATTGGTGAGAAAAAAAGAGTAATTATGCAATTACTATGAAACTGTGTTCAACGGCACTTCTTACTTTCCAGATTGGGGGAGTTGGGGGAGGGCAGGAACCGGTCCCCTCATCCTACGTAGTTTCCTTCAAAGTATTTGAAGATACATAAGAAAATTTATAGCGTTAGTTCCATGTACACCCAAGATTCTCTTCCTCTTGAGGGTCAGATTCACTGTGCAGTTTAAAAGCCAAAATCCTTCCCACAAAATAGGAAAAAGACTGAAATTCCATCTGAAACCCCAGACAGCTTTTCAAAGAGTAAAAATTTTAAAAGTTTAGCATATTTATGTTTTATTTCACTATCTTCAGTTTTGTGAAAAACACCAAAAGCAGAATTACTGCTCAGAAATCTCACCATGAAAAAAGGTTTTCTGTTCCTAGGACTACAGAAAATGCTGGAATTCCCTTTGTAGGATGACTTTCATCAGTTTTAAAGAGACAATAGATATGACTGCACTCTAGATACTAATCTTTCAAATTCCTCAGTTATTTGACTTTTCTAATCTCTTAGAAATGTGCCACTATTTATACAAATGTGATTTTATTTTATTAGGTATGTCTGGACTTTCAAAAGAATCTAGAATAGAAGTAGATAAAGTTTCAATTTCCTTATTTAAAGTACTTTCTATAATTCTTATATTCAGCAGAGGACTAATACAAATATTGCTGAGGGTTACACGGAAACTCTTAACACCCCAGGGAAGAATCCCAGGGTGTGCTTATTGGTTTTTCCCAACCACTTTCTTTATGGGTTCATTTCACTTTAATCTCACACCTTGGAAAAATACAGATCTGAAGAGTCATTTGAATGAGACTTTCCTCTTTATAACACAGAATAGAAACTGAGGGCTTTGATATTGTCATGGAAATGACTCTTTGTAAATACCATTCAAAGGCCTATTTCAAGCCAGAATGAGCTGGAACAATGTTTTCTTTTTCTTTTCAAATTATAAGATTGGAATACGTGTAGAGAGAAGCTCTGGTCAAGATGGTTGGAGGAAATGGGAAAAAAAGAGTGTGCCTGAGAGAATTCCTCTCACTTACGCTGGCAAATTTATAGCACAGCTTTATTCAAAATAACATGTCGGTCTTTTCCCTCAGGTGCACACATGCACAGTCAGCTGAGAACTGGAGAAGAAAAGTAGGAAAAATAAGAAAGAAGAAATGGAACAGACCATTTGACTATGATCCTTAGTTTTAAAAGAATTGAGATTTATACTGGAAATTATGGCACACAGCTAAGAGACGCAAGAAAAAACTATTCTGCTTTTCAAAGCAAGTAATTGATTTTTGAAGTAGGGCTTGAGAAAGAAATAGATAATGTTTCAGAAAATATTTTAATGCTTAATTAAATCACTGTTTAATTTGGTATTTGTATCATGTAAAACTTTATTATTTTCTAACAAAGAAAACCTTCAGTTCACTTTAGCAAAAAAAAAAAAAAAATAGAATAGATTGAAGGGAGGGAAGCGATAATAAATTGTTGTTTTAAGAAATATCCTCATGCTGAGACCATTAGATTGGATTTCAGATTTTATGATCTCAATGTTATCTTAATTTTTAGCCTCCCCAGCAATTTTTTAAAATAAAAATACAAGGTTCTTCCCCACTTCAGACAAATCACAAATTTTCAGAGAAACAAAGTTAGGGGAAAATCCCTGGAATTAAGCTTTGAGAACAATTTAAAGCTAATGATCTTGGTGACTGATGCAAAGAGATGGCGTTTTCAAAGTCCTGCCCCTCACTCTAGGGGCTCATCCTCTTATAAAACACTCTCTCAATTCTTTTAATATTTGTTCTTTGACTCCAGGGAGCAAGTGAAGGAAAACCTCTCCATAGGAGTTGTTCACAGTACCTATGCATCGCCTCCTCCTTGACCTTTGAGAGAAAGGTAATGTCCTGTCACTGCTAAACAGGCTTGGAAAATACCTCTATAGGTCAGCTACATTGCGGCAACTAGAGGTTATCTAAACAGTATTTAAAGCATCTTAGAATGAGAGATCATGAACCACTACTACTAAATGTTAACATAGGGAGTTCCATTCTAAAGTAGCCCAGCTTAATGGAATGAGTATCTAAATTAATTTGAATTCCATAACCTTGATTTTGCAGAACTGCCACCTTAATGCCCAGGGGTAACTCTCAAATTATATGGAAACAATCCTCCCAGCTGGAGTTGGTGGTACTCAGCCTCCTGGGCAAGACAACTCTGTTTCTGTGTTAAAATCAAATCCGCAACTGGCTTCTCAGCCTCTCTTTGTAATTGAATTGTGTCTACCCTAGTGGAAGAATAGAGTGATTTGCTATTATCTCTTTTCAAAGACATGTCTTCCATTGAGAGGCACATTCATAAATGTTTGAGAAGTGTGCTTTTAACATTAATCAAGAAATTACATAAAATGAACTGAGTATAACCACTATTGAAGATTAATATTTAATACATAGCACTTGCAAAGATAACATGATTCCATCTTCATCAGCCTAAGAACAAAACAAAGTCCTGAGTAATCCACAAAAAAAAAGATTGCTCCTATTTTCCAGGATAGGAATTAAGGTAAAAAAAGAAAAAGAGAAAGAACTTTCCAAAGACATAGAAAGAGGATTTTCTATGGAATTAAGATGCAGGAAACACTCAAATCCTAGATATTTCTGACGCTGACTTAAATTCCTCTCTGTGTAGGGGGGTTGAGTTCTTTCCCAGCAGCCTCATGCCAACAAAAGGACCTAGGAAAAGGTGGGAAAATTAGGCCTTTTTAAAAAGACTGATCTTGTAATGAGCAATAATGTGAATTTCCCTTGCTTGGGAGAATCAAATATACTGCCCAGTGCCAAAGACTTTGAGCTTAATCCTATTAATCAATTAAGCCTGAAATTAGGGTAAAATCTTAAATTTGTATAGTTCTTTACAGTTTATAAAGCTTTTTCAGTAATTCTGTTCCCCTTAGCTATCTACTTTTTCACAGCGCTTATCAATACCTGACATATGATGTATTTATCCGTTTATTTCTTGATTATCTTTCTCCTACTGCTGAAATATAGGCTCCACAAGGCAGAGACTTTAGTCTGCATTGTTCACTCCTATATCCCCAGCACCTCGCACAGTTCTTGGTGCATAGTAGACAATAGATATTTGTTAAATGAATAAATGAGGCAAATAAATGGATAAATACTATTTCATCTGAGCACTGAAACCCCCTGGGGAAAAGGCAGACATGTTTTTCTGATCCTCTTTACAGATAAGAAAACCAAGACCTCAAAACACCAAATTATTTATGACAATATAAACAGCTGACTGGGGTCAGAGCTATAATTAGAAAGATCTCCTAATTCCTAATTCCAGGTCCCTTCTAGTCTTACTTTGCTGACTTGTGCAAAGGGACTAGATTATGGGTAGTCAAAGATTTACTGCCATCAAAATCAGTCCATTTTCACTTTCCAGGAAGATGGATGCAAGAGAAAAAATGAATAAGTTCATGTCATTCTCTCTACAGCTGTCAATCTTTCTCGGCTTTCTTCTCTCTTTAATCACTTGCTTAAATTAAATTGCCCTGCTAAGGTGTTTGTTGTCTCATCACCCCCTTTATGTTTATGATTTCTCTCCTGGTGTCTTCTCTTTGATCCTATGTAATTTGTATGGTCTTTAGATATCATTTGTTACAACCCATTTACACATGCTAGGCGTTTTCCGTTTGTCTGCTCACAACCAGGAAGCTGCAGATGTATCAGGCTCCAAAGCCCAGGCTCTTTTCCCTCCACCACACTGCCCCCATAAAAGACCTGGCTCCATAGAGACAGCCCTTGGGAGCCCCAGAACAAAGCCCACATCACCCTTGACGAGGGAACTGAGCAAAAGCTTCACCTCACACTGGTTAGCTGCAGGGAGGTTGTGGCATAGGAGTGCTACACGGGCAAGTGAAGACCCGATGATTAGCCCCCCAGCATCCGTGACAGGTTAGGGGTAGCTTAGAATCCCCCCACAATTTGATTTAGGATTGGAACGAGAAAGAAGGCAATGATCCAGCCAATAGTTATGGTAATGGGTGGATCAACTTTATCTTTCCTCCCTCCTTTACCAGCTACTCCAAAACGTTTTTGTTAAGGATACCATGCTTTCTTTTATTTCCACCCCTTGCTTGCTCTTTCCTTTTCTTCTTAGTGAAACACTAAGAGCATGCCTTTTAGAGCTGCGAGTGAGTGGCTGACAAATGTGACCCCTCACAACTCTGGTGTCCCTCCAAGCTGCCAGTGCCAGTTCTGCTTCACATCCCCATTAGAGTCAGAATGATGCCTTCTAAACAACGGCTGAAGAGAAGGGGTGGGGAGATGCAGAAACTTTGGTAATCAGGTTCCTGTCATTAAAAATGCTGATCAGACCATGAAAATAAATTCTTTCTGAACCTGACTTTCAGTTACTAACATTTTGTGAAGTCATTTGAGAAAGAAGCTAAGTTAAATAAACACAGGTTCGCTAGTAGATTTATGACGCTGGACAAGTAGGATATACTTGCTTGGTACAAAACCAATTTCTGGGCTCTGATGGACCTCTGCACATATATTAAGACAAATGGGAGCTTCAGCAGAGTGTTCTAGCTCAAGATATTTCTTTCAGTTGTTAAACAGTGTACGCTGTGTTGAGCTTTAGTCTGTATAAGATGAAAATGATACTAAGATTCTTCATCAGCAAAGATGAACCACAGGGTTCAAATGGCAGGATAAGCCTTGCCAGCCAAAGTGTCACGGAGGCGGGAAGGACAAGGAGTTTGGATCCCTCTTGGGAGTGAGTCCAAGGACCCACAGCTAGGAAGATGCTTGGAGTTCCTGCATCTCCAGATGACTGAGATATCTGAGGAAACCTAAGTCCTGTATGTGCCTGGATACAAGGCAAAAAACTGCTTATATTTGAGCCTTTATGAAGCCTCTCATAATCTATTTTGGATAAATTTTGTTTAGGGAAGACCAATTAGCTCACATAGACCTCAATCAATGTTAATTTTGGTTGCTTCTGGAGGCCAATCTGATGACGCTTACATTTTTAAAAAAAGGTAGAGACCAGGCCCAAAGCAATAGATATTCTGATTTAATTGGTCGACGATGGGACCTTGGAATCAATTTTTTTTCTTAAGATCCCTCGGGGGATTCTAAAGTGCAGCAGCCAAGGTTGAAAAAGCCTAATCTGATAAAATTAGCAATTTTTAAAATAGCAGATTTGGTAAATATTCCTAAAGTTATGATAAGCTCACAATGACAAGTGTTGGGTTTTACTTAGTCAATAATAGGTAACTATTTAGAAAGAGGTTTTAAAAATGCAATGTGTGGTTAGGTCATGGTGATTATGACTATTTACCTACAAGAGACATGGAAAATAAAAACCCTTGCTAGTATTACACCAGTGGGTAACTGAGGCTTCGGGGAAAACTTCCGATGTCAGCATCTAGGGATGCCTTGTAAGGTTGTTTAGGTCATGTACTGCACAATTCCAAAGGGCTGTATTCATACAACACTCTCATCTCACTGGGAAAGTAGTGGCATAGCTACTATTCAGGCTTTTGTCATATTTAGAGATATATGGCAAGATGTTACTCCGACAATTTTGCACAGAAATTGTAGTGGGAAGGATTTTTTTCACTCAGTGAAGGAACTGAATTTTGTTTCTCAGTTGACAAAGAATAAAACAGAATGTTCTGATGCTGAAGCTGGAGACAGAGAAGCTGTGGTGGACATGTTCTTCATACCCATCTAGCATCTCTTCCTCTTTTGTCTGATATTAGACACTCTCCCTGCATTAATCAAGGTTCTCCAGAGAAACAGAACCATTAGGCTATATATAGATATATATAAAAGGAGATTTATTATAGGAATTGGTTCATGTGATTATGGAGGCTGAAAATTTCCACAATCTGCCATCTGCAAGCTGGAGAACTAGGAATGCTGGTAGTGTAATTCAGTCTGAGTCCAAAGGCCTGAGAACCAGGAACTTCTCCAAGAACAGAGGAAAATGGATGTCCCTGCTCAAGCAGAGAGCAAATTTACCCTTCCTCCACCTTTTTGTTCTATTCAGGCCCTCAACGAATTGAATGATGTCCACCAGCATTGGGGAGGGTGATCATTACTCAGTGTACCAATTAAAATGCTAATCTCATCTAGAGATAACTCACAAACACACCAGATATAATGTTTTACCCACTGACTGGGCATTCCCTGGCCCAGTCAAGTTGACGTATAAAATTAACCATTACAATCTCCCTACATAGCTTTTCTCCTGAAGGAACCCATTCCATGTGGTCTTACATGGCTAGTCTGGCCCCCATTCCCCATCTCTACCAAAGGGATGAGCACATGACTAGGTCTGGTCAGTTATCTTACCAGTGACAGTGATTGGTTGAAAAATGGACATGTGACTCAAGCTGGGCCTATCAGAGCAGTGCCAGGAGTTTTCTGCCACATCTATCTGAGAAGATGTTCTCCTTCTATGAAGGTTACAAAGCTAATATGATGTGAATTGGGCTATGTGACAGAGGCTATTACTTGTTCTCCAATATCTATTCTCTCCTTCTCCCTCCATAATAAAGTTTTAGCTAGGCAAATGGTCTTATAGACTATACAGAATAAAGGCTACATTTTCTACCCTTCCTTGCAGCTGCTTATGGCCATGTCAACACATGCTACAAAAATGAAAATGTCATATAAGAACTTTCAGAAATCTTTCTTAAGAGACAATTGTTTTGTGTCCTTCATCACTATTTTTCCCCCTCTTGCATCCTGCTGCTTGGAATATGGATGCTATGATTGGAGCTCCATCTTGGACCATGAGCAATGCCCCCACTCCAGGGATAGCAGATCAGAATACTGTGAGAATGGGCACCTGAATACTTCATGGGACATAATTGTCTTACCAGCCCCGAATTGTTTACATCCAGACTCATATGAGAGAGAGAAATAAACTATCTCGATTAAGCCATTTTTATTTTATTTTCTGTTACTTGCAATAGTTATTAACTGCCAATTAATCTTAGTTAATTCAGGATGCCTTCATCAGCATGTCTACCACATGAAGACAGACTGCCTAAGAGTGAAGACAATACAGAGGAAAGTAGAGAAAAAAGAAAAAGAATTCTGTTGATGTAATTTGCCTCACTGAATCTAGCCATGCCTTAGCCATACTACCTTTAGATTTTTTGGTTTCATAAGTGAACCTATTTACTTTTTTTTTTTTTTTTAAGATATTTTAAGTTCAGTTTCTGTCATTTGAAAAAAAAAAAAAAGAAAGTCCAGATGAATCTAGCAATCTTGAGGAAGTATGCTCTCAATAAGTATATAACAATATTTTTACCAATTTTGGGTTATGGAATTGGGAGTAAGAATCAATTTATTTAGAGCTCCAGATTCTCAAGGGACAGATAAATCTAAACTGACGTCTATATTACATTAGCCTCCACATTATCCCTTTACCATGGGCATCTTGTTTTTATTATTTTAAAATATTACATAGGACTCAAGTGGCTTGTAATAGTTAAGACATTTCCCCCAGAAAATGGTAATTTAGGAAGATTTACCTGGCTTCAAATACAGGAAGGGCTGAAAGGGTTCTGGATGATGAGACTGGAGGCAGGAGACCAGTTATGAGTAGGAATTGAGAAGATAGGGCTCTGGTGACAGTGTGAATAGATAGGAAGGGACAAAAGTTAAGAGAAACAATCGAATCTGTAGCTTTAACGTATATTCTGTCCTACTGGTAGTTTATATTAGTAAAATGTTTTGTGATTCATGATGTATTTCACGTGTTATATTTGACTCTTAATAATTCTTTGGAATAGGCAAAGCAGGTAACTAGTTTCATCATTTTACAGAAATGGAAACTGAGGCTTAGTGTGGTTATGGGTCTTGCCCAAGTCACATGGGTGTCAGAGCAGGGGCCAGAAGCCAGATTTCTGATTAGTAGTCCAGAATGGAGTTACTGGGTAGCTCTGTACATGGAGATTCACCATTTAGTTTTGTTTGTGAATTCTATTTCATTGTTCATGTTTTCTTCTTACTCATGACCTCTCCTGAGCAGTGATGTGGGCTAAAAGACAGAACTTCATCCTGAGATGAACCATCTTTAAATGCAGTATTTGAACCAAAGAGTGTGTGTGTGGATCTAGAGAGGAGAGAGGAACTACCAAACGATGACAAAACACTCCAACCTTGAGTCCCAGTGAATGGATTTATCTTATTTCTCAGTACGGTAGCCCTGAGAATTTTAATAATTTATCATTTCAAGGAGCCTTGGGAAGAGAAAGGAAATTGCTTTTAGACAGTGTCTTATTCAAGCAAATGGAAATGGTTTCTGAACCACAGAAAACAAATAAACATGCCTCTACCTGGAACTTCGCTAGTGTTTGCCTGTTGTCTGGCACTAAAAGATGTGCTTTGAAATAACGGTGCAGTGTATGCCTGGAGATTCTGCATGTTAGTGGGGCTATCTAAACTCTAGAAGAAGAGGATGTTGATTACGTCTAGGACCACTGAGCTTGGATGAACTCCCAAATGCTGGGTGTGAAACCACGTGCTAAATGTCTTTCCATATAGCAAAATGAAATGCCAAATCCTTAATGGGGGGCTTAGCTTTCACAGCTTCCAAAGAAGCACATTTTATTATTGCTTAAAATATAAAGCTAACATACTATGTATATAGCCATAGTGTATGACAACCATCACGATATTAATGCTTGGCACTCTGGTGACCCATAAAGTCTTCTAAAGAATTATGCATTTTCCATTATTATGTCATTGATGTACCTTTTAAACTTTGCTTGTGAATTAAAAAATGTGTAATTTGGAATTCTGTGGGATCCTGCTGAATTCCTTAGGACCATGGTCAAACACAGCTAAATGGTTATCCTTTTCCACAGTGTTATTCTTGGGCATGGAAAGGAGTATCTTTTTAATAAAGGAAAATTGGCAAGGGGATTTCTTGCAGTGCAGTCCTGGTTTGGCACAAAATGTGAGGCGCCAGGGATGTAAACATCTCATCTTCAGATCCTTGCCTGGCAAAGACACAAGAGGACACATTTCCCTGGCGATGCTCAGCGATCTGCAGCACCACGGTGGGTCTCGGCTCTTTGGACTGACCTTCGCTGAGATGGTAGAAATCCAAAGTAAAGCAATGTGACCTGGCAAACAGCGGATCCTGGAGCAGAGCGTGTGATTTCTTCCATTCCTATGGAGATCCTCATTTGGCTGGAAGTCCACCCCAGGGACAAAGTATTTGCAGATCTTTGGCATAAAAAGAAATGCCCTCTTTTCAACTTTCTCTATTTCAAAGAAGTAGAATGCTGACAAGAAAATGAGTAACCTCTATACTTTTGCTATAGCAATAATAGCCATATCGATTTTAATGTTTGTATAACAATGAGGTTAACAATGGCTACTTGTAAGATCATTATAAGAATATAACATTCATTTTTTCTAAGCTATAGAATATAATATGAGATAGAGGAAATATATGTTTGCATATATGTATAGGTACATATGTGTGATACATGTATTTATGACATGAAATATGATGAAACGTACAATATGCATGTATGTATTATATATGTGTAGACACACACATGGTATATTGAGCATGCAGGACTAATGAAGTATAATCATAAAAAGCTACTTTGTTTTTGTATTCTGCTGTCCTTTTTAGTAGAGGGACCTCTTCCTCTGCCCTTGTATGGAAACGCAGGCAATTTCACAGCTTTTCTGAGCACACTTAAAATATAGAAAATCCCACAATCACTTTAAGTTGTAAAGTACAATCTTGATTCAGAAACTAGAATTTCCAGTTCAATGTATGAATCAGAGTGGTAGAAGCTAGGGCCCCCACGTTGTCCCCATCCCATTTACTGGACTTGCATACCCATCTCTCAGCTGCTGCAAAAATTGTCTATTAGTGGCTCCCAGAGGATTCTCTCAGGAGGATTGACCTCAGCTGACTGATGCCATCTCACCTGGGAAATCAGGACACCCCCCCCAACCACCACGACATACACATCAACCACTGATTTCAAACGTACAAGAGGCCAGCCTCTGGCTCCAGGAGGACAGTTGTGCTGTGCAACTTATGCCGCAGACCTCTCCCTCAAGGATCAAGCCAAAGCTAGACTTCACCTGAAATCGTATCCTTGCTCCACTTTTCTGCCTTCCTTGCCCTTAACCTTAACCTTACTGATTTTTTCTGAAGAGCATTCCTCAAAAACTTGTTTGTCCCTGAATTCTACACTCAGGCTCTGCTTCCAGAAATCCCAAACTAAGATGAAACAAAACAAGAAATCTCTACTGTCCCTTAAAGTTAACATTTTCCACCTTCCACTCAGGGCACAGCTGTCTCCGGGAAGGCCATCAGCCTTCAGAGAAGCGCAAGTGGGGAATTTCTTATGCATTTCCTGCTCACCACTCCTCCATTCACCACCTGCTGGCTGCTCTTATCAAATAATTTTCCTGTATCTCTTGAACTGAATATGATTTTTATTTTTAAGACTACAAATATATTGTATTCCACTGATATCTTCTGAAGTTGAACAATCCATCAATACTCCTGGTGGGAAAAAAACCCTTACTTAATCATGATGATCTGTAGATTTTGAGGCTATATTGTTTACACATTCACATTCCTCTAGTCTCTACATCTCTCTTCCCCAAGCTGATATTATCTAAAATTTTAGTTCTGGAACGCTAAGAGGCTTTTTGCTTGTTTTTGCTTTGGCCCCCAATAATTTTTTGGACAAAATAAACTTTAGTACATTTATTTAGTCATCTT